CATCTGTGGGGGCAACCTGATTTACACCTTAATGATACCCAGTACAACTAACCATAGAAGAATTTCTTCATTTTAGGTCAGAACTTGTACCTGTCATGCAATGTCTGTGCAGGCCAGAAAAGGGTGTTGGATACCCTGGAACTGGAATTACAGACAGCTGTCAGCTGCTATGTAGGTGCTGGAGACAACCTCAGTCCTCTGCAAGAACACCCAGTGCTCTTAACCAGGGAGCCATCTCTCTGTAGCCCCAACTAGCCTGGACTCAGAGATCTGCCTACCTCTGCCTCCTGCGTGCTGGGATTAAACGAATTCGTCTTTTAAGAGACAATTTTAGTCACAGACTAAAAGCTTATTTTCCTAACAACGTCAATTTTGTTAGGAAAATTCATCCTCTTGCACCCTTATTTACTGAAATTCCCAAACTTATCCACTTGTGGGGTTTTAATTTTAAAGCAAAAACACAAGTGTAATCAGGACAAAAATCACTACTAGGAGGTATTTCCAAGAGACTTCTACAGCCCAGGAAGCTAAAATGCTAAACACTTGCTCATCCATGAGCTTAGTGGAAGGGAGAGTGAAAGTGAAGACAACAAACACAATGCAGATAGGCAAAGTGACCAAGAAAGATCAAAGCTAGAAGAAAACAAACCCAAGGCCTGAGACAACTACAAATTATGCTGGGAGTGGTGGCCCACACCTTTAATCACAGTACCGGGAGGCAGAGGCAGGCAGATCTCTGAGTTTAAAGTCAGTCTGGTCTACTTAGTGGTTCCCAGGAACTGGGACCCAGATTAGCCACAAACACACAACAGGTGGACATCATCACCATTTCAGACCTCTTGACATTAAATTTTTAGGATGAAAACCTTTTAAGCTCATTTGGGCTTCACTTTCCACGACTTCAGCCAGTCTATGAAAACTCTAGCATAACACAAAGGGAAGCAATAACTAACAATACATCTATAACCAGGCTTTCTTTTTTTTTGAGACAGGGTCTCCCAGTAGCCCCAGCTGGCCTGGAACTCACTATGTAGACCAGGCTGGCCTTGAACTCATAGAGATCCGCCTGCCTCTGCCTCCCGAGTCCTGGGATAAAAGGTGTGTGCCACCACACCCGGCTCAGGCTTTCTTTTTTATATGGTGACTATACAGCTCATTATCCAAACTGGAACATTTTTATGAGAGAAAACAAATACTTTTGGCCAGCCTGGTCTACATAATGAGTCCCAGGCCAGCCAGGGCTACAGGGAGACCCTGCCTCAAATAGACCAAAATAAATAAAATAAAAAACCAAAAAGAACCCCCACTACAAAACATAAAATAAACAAAAAACCCTCTAAATATCTGGCCTGAAAGGATGACTTGGGGGTTAAGAGCACTGATTGCTCTTGTAGAAGACCTGGGATCAATTCCCAGAGCCCACATGGCAGCTTACAACTGGCCTTAACTCCAGTTCCAGGGGATATGACACCCTCTTCTGGCCTCCATAGGCATCAGGCACAAAGAGGTACATGTAAATGTAGGCAAAACACTCTTAAACATAAAAAATAAATCTTAAGGACCAGGCATGGTGGCGCATGCCTTTAATCCCAGCACTCGGGAGGCAGAGGCAGGCGGATCACTGTGAATTCGAGGCTAGCCTGGTCTACATAGAGAGTTCCAGGCCTGCTGGGAGACCCTGTCTCAAAAACAAACAAACAAACAAACAAAAAAAAAAAAAAAAAAAAAAAAACTAAAATATCTCATGCTATGCAAAAAAGTTTCAGGTGCATTATAGACCTAAATATAAAAAAGCAAAACTAAAAAACGACTTGAAAAAAAGATAAAGTATTACCACAGCATTAAAGAACCACCATCCCAGGGCTGGAGAGATGGCTCAGTGGTTAAGGGTACTGGCTGCTCTTGCAGAGGACCCAAATACCCACATGACAGCCAATGACCCTCTATAACTCCAGTTCCAGGGGGATCCAATGCCCTCTTCTGGCCTCCATGGTCATTGCACACATATGGTGCATTTACATGCAGGCAAAAGACATAAAATTTAAAAAAAAAAAAAATATTTTTTTAAAGTACCACCATTCCACTAACAATAAAAGAAAAGCCTGATAAACAGGCCTAAATTAAAATGAATAGCTTCTATCCTAAAACACCATTACATGGGAAAAGATATTTATAATACATAAAAATTCAGAACACCAGATGATATGGAATAATGAGCACTAAGGGGTTGAAGAGGTTGCTCTTGCAGAGGACCCAAGTTCGGTCTCTAGCTGCTCTTGTAGAGGACCTGGGTTCAGTTTCTAGCACCCACATGGCAGCTAAGAACTGTCTGTAACTCCAGTTCCAGGGGATCAGATGCCCTCTTCTGACCCGCAAAGGCACTGCATGACAGGGGTGCACTTACATGCATGCAGGCAATACATTCATACATATAAAATAAAAATGTTTCTTTAAACACAATTTCAAAGGCACTTAATAAAAGATAAACTCCAAACGGCTTAGATATGAAAAGACCCTCAATCTCAGTCAGATAAATGGGAATTAAAACACATCTGACAGCTGGGTGCGGTTGCACATGCTTTAATCCCAGCACTCAGGAGGCAGAGGTGGGTGGAACTCTCTAGGAGATCAAGGCCACTCTGGTCTATACAGTGGAGTTCTAGGTCAGCTAGGGCAACAGGGAGACACTGTCTTTAGAAAACCATCTATATTTGACTACCTACCCACCAGATTGGCTAGTATTAAAATATATGCTACCTAGCATTATTGTTGCCGAGTAATGTAGGACAGCTACAACTGTCAGTAATCATTGAAATAAAGGCATGCAACTCCTATGGAAAATTGCTTTGTATTACTTATTAAAGACATACATTCCCTGTGTTCATGTTATTCAAATTTCAAGGATGTGCCCTCAAGAAAATTACCTCAGCTGGGTGCACACCCTTAACCACAGCACTCATGAAGCAGAAGCAAGCAGATCTCTTGTGAGACTTAGGCCAGCCTGGTCTACATAGCGAGTTCCAGGCCAGCCAGGGCTACAGCGAGGCCCTGTTTTTTAAAAAAATTAATTTTCTGTATATGAGTTTTGCCTACATGTATGTATGTGTACCGTGTGTGCAGAAGCCCTCAGAGGCCAGACGGGATGGATCCCCTGAAACTAGAGTTTCAGGCAGTTATTTGTGAGCCCCCATGAAAGTGCTGGAAAGGAAACCAGGTCCTCTGCTAGAGCAGCAAGCACTCTAAACTGCTGAGCCATCTTTGCGGCCCCATAATGGGTAATTTACAATTTAATGTGTATGGGCTTAAGAGCACAGAGGCCAGAAGAGGGTGTGGCTTCCCTAGAACTGGAGTTATGGATGACTGGGAGCACAGCCCGTGCTCTTAACCACTGAGCCATATCTCTAGCTTCAGATGTAGTATAATTTTAAGTTTATGACTTAATGACTTTTAGTAAATTAAGAAGTTGTATAATCATCACAATAGTTACTTGTTTGGGGTTTTGTTTTTGTAGTGCTGGGGATGGAACCCAAGGTCTCACACTTGCTAGGCAAGAGCTGAGTCCCACCCCACTCCCAACCCCTACTAAGTATGTTCAACAACATAAAAAAGATTTCCTACCCAGCACTGTCTCAACTCTAGTATTAAAGATCATTAATGAAGGCCAGGCGTGGTGGCGCAGGCCTTTAATCCCAGCACTCAGGAGGCAGATGAGGATTTCTGTGAGTTCAAGGCCAGTCTGGTCTACTCAGTGAGTTCCAGGACAGCTGGGGCTACAGGGAAACCCTGTCTCAAAAAGATTCTGGGTGTGGTGTGCACGGGTGTGGTTACAGCACTAGGGAGGCTGAAGCAGGAGGATCTCCGTGAGATCCAGACCAGCCTGGTCTACATAGTGAGTTTGAGGCCACCTGGGGCTAAAGGGACTCCTTGTCTTAAAAAGCAAAAACAAAAAAAACAGTCTTTAAAACTTGTTCCGTACTGTGAAACGACTTTCCCATCAGTTCACGATTTTAATTTTTTGGTTTAGAAAATTTTCTACCCACAGACCTCTTTTCCTACTATGTTATTCGGTTCATAACAATTCTACCAGACGTGTTGGGAAAATTACCCCTCCTAAGTATTACAAACTGTTGTTTAAGATCAGAAGCCAAAGTTTATAATATTTTCTGGTTTCCTGGCAGAGCAAAGGCCCAGCACGTGTGAACGGAAACAAAACCCACAGGCTGTACGGGTGCTAAACACTACGCACTATGGGGTAGGGGCCCCTTCTACACAACTCCCTCTCCTGAGGGAGCGGTCATCGCCTGGTATCACTCCCATCTGAATTGTGTGTACCAGGGTCCTAGATCATCAAACTTGAATTCCCTGGGTTCCAGAAAGAGGATCGTGGGGACAGCGCTCATTTTAATGCGCACCCCCGAGAGTTGGTTACACAACAGGCCTGGTGAAGAATTCCAGTTTAACAGGTAGCAACCACAGAGATGAGACTAACTAGCGGGATGTGATGGGCTCGACCGTACCAATAGCTTTTCGAGAACACAGGAGTCTGTGGAGCAAACCCAAAGTTTGGAGCACATAAGAGTTCACTCGAGAAACACTGCAGCCAACTGAAAAGCAGAACCTAGAGAAAATGGGGGCTGAAGAATCAACACATCAGCACTAAAACTCAAGCGAGGCGGAAAAATTCTCCCGACTACTCCGGCTTTGTTCCGTGTTAAAGATGGAACGACCGAATCCTGAAGACACGAACCCGGGGGTTCTCCGTTCCGTTCTCGGACTTCAGGGCCGCCCCGGACTTCCTGGGATGGCTGGCGCGGAGCTTCGGGGAAGGAAGCCCTGGGGGTCGGGAGGCCCGTTCGGCGTCACGGAGCCGGGAAGCTAAGAAGCGGCCTCCCTGAGGGCGGCGGAAGAACGAGGCGAGCGCGCAGGCCGCGGACCCGGCACAGCCCCGCGCGCTGGAGGACCAGGCCCGCTCCCCACCCCGAGGCCCGCCCCGGCCGTACCTTTGGCGAGGGCTACGGTGGAGTTTTCGGTGTCGATGGTATAGAGGATGCCCTCGTAGCGGATCTCCGCCTTGGAGATGAGGCTGATCTTGCTACCGATGTAAGGGGTGCCCCCGCTCATGGCGCCGCCGCCGTCGCCTGCAACTCGCACTGAGGCAGATACCGCACGCTCGCACGCTCGCTCTGTCGGCGCCTCACAGCAGCCGCCTCAGACCCAACATGGCGACAGCACCCGCTCCGCTACCCTCCCCCAGCCTCCCGCCCTCAAACCGCGGCGCGGTGGCGGCGGCGGCGGTGGCAGCGACGGCTGCGCGGGGCATGCTGGGAGGGCGAGGCCGCGCTCTCGCGAGACTTGGTCCGACTGTCGGCCGAATTCCAGGTGTTTCCGCGGCTGGCTGAAGTCCTGTCAGCGTGGCTTGGCCCTGGAGTCTCGCGCTCCAGAGGAGTTTCGGGGAGACGGAAGTGTTTCCTGGTGCTGAGACGCCGTGTGGGGAGCGCGGGGTCCGCCCGGTGACCCTGACTGCGGCCTCCGCCACGTGTAGGAGTGCTATATTGTCCTGAGCCCAGAGCCTTTGGAAGCTCCTGGCGAGCCCTGGCCATCCTTTGTAGACCGATTTCCTGTTTCTGACCCCCAGGACTTCCTACCCTCCAAATTGGTTGATCTGGACTTGCCAAGTGCATCTCTGCATCTTTGATCACTTCTGTGAACTTCAGTTTCATAAAGACGATCGCCTCCTGGGCTCTCCGTATGGATGCCACACTTGGTGTGTCCAATCCATTTTATTCTATAAACCTGTCCCCTCGCTATCTGTTCCCCTCCTGGGTAACTAGAATCATTGACTTAGCTGTGCAGATTTCAAATCTTGGAATTGTGCTTGACTCCTCTGCCACCCAAACCTTGTGATTGTAAATCTTGTCCTTTCAATCTGAACCATCTCCATCTGTACAGCTCTACAAGAAACCACAGTTACTCTGGCCAGAATTATTGCAGTAGCCTCTTATGAATTCTATTTATTCCTTGTCCCCCCAATACTTTATTCTTAAAGACTGTAGACTCTTATTCCAATCAAATCAGATCATATCCCTCCTACTCGCTACTCCCCACTGATTCCACAAAGTGAAAACCAGACTCCTTACTTTTCTTAAAAGGACATACATGATGTAGCTTCATTACACTCTGCTCAAACGTCACCCCCAAGAGATGACTCGTTTAAAATCCCTTTACGCCACTCTCTTTAGCTTACATATAATTTATCTCTCCTAGTATTCCTATTTAGTCATTTCTGTGTGTCTGCCTCCCCAGCTAGAATGCAAGTTTTTCTTTTTTTCCCTGTTTTTCTTTTCTTTCTTTTTTTTTTTTTCTTTTTGATACAGGGTCTCCCTGTAGCCCCAGCTGTCCTGGAAGTCACTATGTAGACCAGGCTGGCCTTGAACTCACAGAGGTCAGCCTCCCTCTGTCTCCTGAGTGCTGGGATTAAAGGCGTCTGCCACCATGCCCAGCTCTCTTGAAAATCTTTTTATCTATGTTGTCCATCTTATGCTCTAATTTATTTAACATATCTATAAATTTAAAAGTCCTTCTAATATCACAATCATAGAAATCCCAGTTTCCTTGTTTACAGCTTATGTTAGATACTGTATCTAAGAACTGAAGTGACTGGAGTAAATATTTCTCCTAGGGAAGACCAGCCTTTTCCTCTCCTAGGAATCTAGGCTGTTGTGTGACTTTTCCTGGGAGACATGAACAGTCATTTGTTCATGCTAGAGAAGTGATTCCACCCATCTAGCTTGGCCAACCAATGAATTTATTTGGCTTACTTACAGCAGCACAGATGTCACAGAGGCACTGCATGATGGGAAAATCCACCCCAACTCCCAAAAGTTGCACCCTGGAGCACCCAGCCTAAGCAGCCAGGCAGCTGCTCAGAAGAGAGTCTGCCCTCAGCAGTTTTTTACAGCTTTTATAACCTTGGGCTTATAAAACCTTGTGGATCTTACTATTTTCTGAGCTTCCTGAATCTTGTAAATTTCAGGAGCTTCTTAAGATTCCTGTTTGTTGACCTTCCTGAATCCTCTGAGCCTCCCACCCCTGCCCCTCCCCCTCCCCCTCCTCCTCCTTCCGAAACAAGGGAAGGTTTCAGTTCAGAGACAGCTACACAACAGGAGCTGATCAAATCCAGACAGGAGTTGAACTGAGCAGGGTGTGGTGATGCAGAAAGTTTGTGGCCATCCTGGACTACATAATGAGACTGCCTCAAAGCAGAAAATAAAAGTTGAGCTTGGTAATGTAGCTCAGTTTGCGTAGCATACACAAAGCTCTGGGTTTGATCCCAGCACCGAATATAAAGCCAGGCGTGATGGTGCATGCCTATAATCCTAGTACTTGGGAAGTAAAACAAACTCAGAAGTTCAAGTTCATCTTCCATTACATAGCAAATTTGAAGCCAGCCTGGGCTACATGAGACCCTGTCTCAAACAGAAAACAACAAAAGAACTGAATTGGGCAGAATTAAAGCTTACTATGTAACCCAGGTTGGCCTCAAACTTAATCCTCTTGCCTCAGCTTCCCGAGTGCTAGTATTACAGGCAGGCACCACATGTTGACTGTATGTGTTTTTCAGACTGTTGCATCCCTAGCTCCAATTCAAGATCTCACACAAAGGCACAAAATAAATCTTTGCCAGAGGAATTAATAGTTTAAATGATTTTTAAGAGCTTGTTGCTCTTCCAGAAGACCGATATCGGGCAGCTCACAACTGCCTATAACCCCAGATCCGGGGGATCCAACACCATCTTCTAGCTTCCTTGGGTACCCACACACATACACATGAATAAAAATAAAAATCTTAAAAAAAAATAGACTATGGAGCCGGGTGTGGTAGCGCATACCTTTAGTTCCAGCACTCCGGACGCCGAGGCAGGTGGATCTCTGTGAGTTCAAGGGCAGACTGGTCTACATAGTGAGTTCCAGGCCAGCTGGGGCTACAGGGAGACCCTGTCTCAAAAAAAGACACCCCCCCCCCAAAAATAGACTATGGGGCTGGAGAGGTGGCTCAGCAGTTAAGAGCACTAGCTGCTCTTATAGAGGACCTGGATTTCATTCCTAGCACCCACATGACAGTTAACAACTGTCCTTAACGATCATTCCAGGGGATTTGATGCCTACTTATGGCCTCTGTGGGCATTGCATGACAGGGGTGCACTTACAGGTATGTAGACAAAACACTCAAACACATAAAAAAATAAAAATAATAAAAAATAGACTATGAAAAAGGAGCTACTTCTAGTTTTAAAGATTCCATTTTAACGTAAGGTCTTAGAATAAGTTGTATGGGATATTCATTAACCTCTGTTCTATGTTTGGTTTTTGAAATGAAATGTTTTTGCCCCAAATCCAAGCATTTGAATTCCTTTCTTGTTGTGTACTAAGTTCACATGCAAATTTCAGTCTCCAGTTGAGTAGTTCCGTGTGATGTTTTCTTGTTCCTCTGTGGCAGACACCCATGGCTTTCTCATTCACCCCATCTGGGCCTCCAGTGTGGTATAATTATCCTGAAAAGCCAAGATGTGTGAGAGCCGAGCTTGATTACTCTAATGGCACGCAATGTTTTCACAAAACCTCCCAACTCCGGAATAATTATCATTATCATATTTACGTGTTTAGCCAAAAGCTTAATTGGAAGATTCCAGAGTGAAACAATACTACACAAGGAAAAACTTCCAGTCACTTTTTGTTAAAAAGGATTTTAAAAAAATCTAAATACCAGGGGCTGGAGAGATGGCTCAGCGGTTAAGAACACTGGCTGTTCTTTCAGAAGACCCGGGTTTGAATCCCAGGACCCACATGGCAGCTAACAACTGTCCGTAATTCCAGTTGCAGGGGATCCGATGGCCTCTTCTTTCCTCCGTAGGCATTGCATGACATGGGTGCATTTGTATACATGCAGACAATACACTCATACACATAAAAAAAATCTAAATACCACTAATACATGCATAGGAAGAAATTAACACATCAAGCAGAAGTGATCATCATGCATGGCAATCACCCCTTGCCTGTATCTCCCTAGCTACGGTCCCATGGGAGCAAAAAAATGTTGAACTCAGCTGTTTCTGTTGGTGGGTATCATTGTCTCCAAATTAATTGCATTATATGCTTACATTACCAGTTCTTTCTTTTTCTTTTTCTATGTAAAACAATTTTATTGAGGGGCTGGAGTGATGGCTCAGCAGTTAAGAATACTAGCTACTCTTGCAGAGGACCTGGGTTCTAGTCCCAGCACCCACATTGTGGCTAACAATCATCTGTAATGCCAGTTCCAGGGGATCTGACACTCTCTTCTGACCTATTGCACTATACAGGTGCACTTACATACATGAAGGCAATACGCTCATACATATAAAATAAAAATAAGGGGGGTGGAGAGATGGCTCAGTGATTAAGAACACTGGCTGTTCTTGCAGAAGACCTGGGTTTGAATCCTAGCACCCACATGGCAACTAACAACTGTCCGTAACTCCAGTTCATTTATATTTAAAATATTTTATTAATTTTTATTTTATGTGTATGAGTGTATTGCCTGCATGTATGTGAGTGCACCTGTGTCGTGCAATGCCACGGAGGTCAAAAGAGGGTTTTGGATTCCCTTGGAGCTGGAATTAAGGACGGTTCATAGCCGCCATGTGGGTGCTGGGAATCAAACCCGGGTCCTCTGCAAGAGCAGTCAGTGGTCTTAACCAATGAGCCATCTCTCCAGCCCTAAATAAAATATTTTTTAAAAATTTGTTGAGCCTGGTGTTGTGGCACACACCTTTAATCTCAGCATTCTAGAGGCAGAGGCAGGTAGATCTCTGTGAGATCAAGTCCACCCTAGTCTCCATATCAAGTTCCAGGCCAGCTGGGGCTACAGGGAGACCTTTAATCCCAGCACTCCAGAGGCGGAGGCAGGCAGATCTCTGAGTTCAAGACCAGCCTAGTCTACATAGTGACTTCCAGGCCAGCTGAGACTACACGGAGACCCTGTCTCAAAAAAAAAAAATGACCAATAATAGTAATAATACTAATAAATTTTGTGATGTGATCTCACTATATATTTCTGACTGGTCTGGAACTCACTATGTAGACCAAGATGGACTCAGAGTTCAACTGCCTCCCAAGTGCTGGGATTAAAGGCCTGTGCCTCCATGCCCGACCTCTTTCTTTTTGAGACTGACTTGCTGTTTCCTTCAGGTTGACCTCAGATTTGTAATCCTCCTGCCTCAGACATCTGAGCAGCTGGAATTACAGTGTATGC